GGGATGCTGGCCACGCTGTTTCCAACCTGCCGCGGCGTGGCACACCTGGCTCTACGTTGCTGCCGCCCTGTCCCGTCTCTCCTGCCGTTCCCAAGATTTTAACCGCAGCTTCTGGCCACGTCGCAGTCCCGTCAGTCCCTGGGGAGAGGCAGAGGAGGGTCCTGCTTCGGCCTCCACCAGGCTGGCTGCTCTGGGTGTCCTCTGGTGACCCCAGCCCCACACCCCGCCCCATGGCATCCTGCCCCGTCCTTTGCTGGGGGAGAACCGCAGCCGGAATAACCCAGGGAAACCCCTGTCCGGGCTGCGATAACCACCCCCCAGCTCTGCTTCGCCCCGCCGTCGCGCTTGTCGGTGCGGCTCTGCCGCAGACCCCGGCGCTGCGGGGTCGGTAGCCGGAGCTGGCTCTTTGGGAGGGTTTGGCTGAGGTCCTTCTCCTTCACTGAAGCAGGAATAGGCCTCGGCTGCTGAAAATCCCATCCACGTCTGCTGCAAGGTGGAGAGAAGTTGTTAAACGCTTTATACCAGGGCAGTAGCAACCCTTGGTCAAGCAGGAAGCACAGAGCATTGGGTTTTCTGCCAACGGAGAGGAGCGGGGCTCTGTGGCCCCCCCCCCCCCCCCCAAGTTTCTAAACGCTTCTTCACAGTTTCTAAAGCTCCTCAGTTTTCTGCCCTGAATGCGACAAACACACCGGCTGAAGCAGGATGAAATGTTTCGGCTGGGGGGTGCTGGCAAGCGTGGTGTGCGACGGCGCTGCCTGCCCCCCCCCCCCCCCCGTCCCCGGGGGATTTGGGGTCCGGCGGCACCTCCCGGCTGTGCTGTGCCCCCCCGGCTGACCCGCGGCCCTGGGGCCCCCCTCCTGGCGCACCCCCTCCCCGGGTCCCCCCATCCCACCGCGGCGTGAGCAGCGACCGAAGGCACGCCGCGTCTGAGGAGCCTCTCTGAGCTCCACTGAGGATTTTCCCGGGGTGCGGCGTGTACCCGGCTTTACCGACAAGTCCCCCCCCCGGCAGAGCTTTGGCATTTAGCTCCGACCGGGTACGGCTCGCACCCCGCCTCGGTGCAGGCTGCAAAGGAGCGAAGAAAACATCGGCGACCGACTAGGTGAGCAAGTATGCGGAGCACAGCCTTGATTTTGGCTGGGGCTGGAGCTGCAGCTGCAACTGACACGAAATTTCCGTGAGTTGCAATGGGTCAGAGGCAGCTGGGGCTCCTTTCCTCCCCGCTCGAGCCCCCGCCGTCGGGAGCCGCCGGCAGGATTAAGGAGAAAAAGCAATGTATGGGTCTTGGGAAGAGGGAAAACAGAAGCACACAGCCAGCCGAAGAGGAAACAGTGGGACACAGATGTCTGTGGAAAGCTGAAGCCACTTATAGAGGATGCGTTTACTTGTATTTCCTTCCACTGTGGCTTAATTGCAATGTGTTTTGATGACAGGTAGGACAGGAGCTGGGCTTCTGCCTAAGCACTTCTCCATCCTGCATAAAAGCTCTGAATTTAATATTAACAACAATTAATCACGGCTACCAGGAAGCAGCCGGCAGCGCTCCCCAGCCCCAGGAGCGCTCGGTTCACATGCTCAGCCCCGTTAATTCCCATCTCCAGGCAAATGACACCGGAGAGTCTCTGAGAAGCAAAGGGCCTTCCCTGTCCTGCTGAATTTAGGGCCAGAGTTGTAGTGGTAGGAGCACCGGCACCCCCTTCCCATCCCCTCTGACAGCTTTTTCTGTGAATCCGGGTGGTTTCAGACGCCCCGTGTCTCTCCCATGGGTAGGAAACGGCCGCTCGCCGTCAACTCCCTCTCTCATTAGTAGCACTAATTGCTCATTGCATATTTTGCATATGTATATTAGTATTTCAGAGCAGCTCAATTTTGCATCCTGTAATTAAATGACCGCTAATGAACACACTGGAGCAGGAGCAGCCAAATGAGATAACCCGTGCAGGAGTGCTGGGCATATATATAATAATTGCATGGGAATTCACTCTAACGTCGCACCGAACTGCCTCCCGTGCTGCACAGGCTCTTGGCCGGGAGAAGGCAGCGTGTGAGCACCCTGCAATCCCTCCGGTCTCCCCCCTGCTTCAAGGGACACCCCCAGGTCCTGGCTCACCACTCACCTCCCTCTTACCTCTTTCATTTCCAGCGTCCAAGCGAGCTTCTTGGCTGAACCACCCACCGCCAGCCCTCCATCCCCCCATTCTGCAGGGGTTACGTTTGCTGGGCACCCCGTGGGGTGAAAATAACCTCCTCCAGGCTCCGGGCTGCCCTGACTCTTCTGCCTCTTGCCCTGAATGCTGTCACCCAAGCATGCTGAAGCAAATAGTGACCTGTTGGGGCCAATATTCCTCTCTCTCAAGCAGCCGACCCTTCGGGGCATCACTGGTCCCCAGCCCGAGGCTCTTCCCAAGGCAGGCATCCCCAGCGGTGGGCCTGCTCCCCATCCTTCCCCCTGTCTCTGCCAGGAAGGGCCAATGTCACGTGCAAACCCCAATTCTGGGTCCAAACCCCTTTGCAGCCTGCCAATGGCCGGTCGTCCATCCTCCATGGGCTATCAACCGAAGGAAATGTCCCCAAAACACCTGCACGTTCTTCAGGACGCAGCTTTGCTTGCCCTCCTGATTCAGTGTCCTGCACATGCATGTCTTGGGCAAAACGGATTGATTTTGGGGCTCTCCACATACATAAACTGGCCATAATGCTCTGGCGTGAGGTGGGGAGTGTTTGGCCGACGTGACCTGAAGCCACACGCTGCACATCGACGCTTAACGTTGAAACTCTCCCAACTCTGAGCAGCAAAGTGGTGATGAAACCTGAGGGGACAGCTGAAGGCTGGGGGTGGTGTGAGCCGGCGTGCCCTCTTGGGCTGCAGGAGGCTTGGAAGTCCCCAAAAAGAGGGATGTGCATGGAAGGGATGGTATTTTTGCTCCCGGGATCCATAAACGGTGGCTTGAGGCAGTCAGGTGAGCGGCTGCCAATGGGGTGGGCGCAGCGGGGAGGGCGGCAGCCCCAGCTCTGTGGTGGACGACCGGGTGGGCAGACTTTTGGGGGCCACCTGGGATGGGAGCGAGTGGCTTCATAAATGTGCCACGTCCACTGGAGTCTTGCAATTTCATCACGGGGTGTTTCGGGGGCAAGGTTGGGTGGGGGGTTTTGGCCCCAGCGTCGGGTACATGGGGACAGCAGGGGACAGGCTGGATGGGGACGGTGGCACGGGGAGACAGACCTCCACCCCGCTGCAGGTGGGGCACCAAGGCTCCCCCCCCTCCCCAGCTCCCAGCAGACCTTTCCAAAGGTTTTAGGTCCTTTTCTGAAGAAAGGGGCGATGAATCCCCACGTTCCCCAGACGTGGTCGCTGCTACCAAAAGGCCCGTCCTCTGCTGTGGGATGGTTCCGGCTGCAGAAGTGCAGAGTTTGGGTCATGACCGCAAGAAGCTCTGGCCTTGAGCTCACAGCAAGAAAAAACACTCTGCTCAGGCACCCCCGCCTCGTCTCTCCCTGCAACGTCCAAGGTGATGCCTATAAAACCCCCGAAATTGAATCGACATCATCACAAATGAGCCACTGGGGTATGGGATGTTTTCATCCTTGAAATGCAGAGATGCCCCCGCCGGGGTGAGGTTGTGGAGGGCGACCGGAGGGGACCGTAAAGCCCTTGGCTTGTGTTTGAGTATTGGCAAGGCCACCGCCGGGCTCTGGGAGACCTTTGGGAAACCTGCTCGAGGCTCCCCGGGGCGGCAGCACCCTGGGCGTGGGCAGGACCCGGCCGCTGCCGGGCTCTCGGCAGCACCCGTGGCTCTTCCCCAACAATGTCTCTAAGATAAATGTTTGTCTTTTCCATCCAAGAGATACAGCAGAGCTGCTGCCAGCGCCACGTCTCAGTGGAATCGGTTTTCGTTCTGCCAGGAGCGTTACCGGCTCATGATTCACATCTTTACAGCAGCTTTGGAAGGAAAATGTGCTTCTCACCAGGCAGACCTTCACGCACGTCGAGATGCCACAGTTTTTCCAGACTTTCCAAAGGAAGCCACGGCCAAGTGAGACATTCCTTCTCCTCTTCCAGCTTTCTTGGAACAACCTTCTTTGATTAGTGAGTGAGACAGATAGTTGGAAAGACAGACAGAGAGACAAGCCAGGCAGTGGGGTTATACTAAGCGGTTTGCAGGAGCCCCAGCCTCCGGTGGGATGGTGCTTCCATCCGCCTCTTGCGGGGTGGCCCCGCTGTTTGCCACGGTCCCCGACACCCTGTCCTCCTCCCCGATCCCTCTCCCCTGCCTTCTGCCACGGTCCCCCATCCCCTTCCCTCCGCCGTGGGCCCAGGCCCGGGGGGGGGGGGGGTGCAGGCCCTGGTTTGCAGCCCGGCCCCTGCCTGGCTGCGGGCGCCTTTGCCACCACGGAGAGGACAGAGGCCGCATCCAGCATCGCAGGGCTGGGCCCCGCGGGGCTGCCCCCGAGGCGGCGGCCAGGGCAGGCCACGCTGGAGGGAGGAGAAGCGGCCGCGGCGCAGAGCATCCCACCCTGCCGCCGAGCCGTGGCTCAGCCCCCGCTTTGTGCCGGAGCCCCCGGGGGTGAATCGGAGCCGGCTTTGTGCCGGGAGGAGGGGAGGGTTGGCTTTTCTCTCCCGTGGTGGGCGCCTCTGCAAAAGGAGGAGGAGGAGGGGGCACCGCGCACAAAGGAGGTTTAAAGAACATCTCTTGGTGCAGGCGGGAGCGAGGATCCATCCCACCGGGGAGGATCGCGCTGCCCTGAGGCGCAAAGCCAAGGGGCTGGCGTTCGCTTCGCCCGTTCGTGCCTACGGCACGGGAAGCCAGGTTGGAAAAAGCAACCAAATGGCTGAGGCGCGGCCGGCAGGTCCCCGGCGAGGGATGGGCACGAGACCGGGGTGCGGGGAAGGAGAAGGGAGCTCCCGCCTCGCTCCCTGCAGCTGCACCCCCTCGGCCACCCCAACCCCAGCGCTCGCACCGCACCGGCCGGAGAAACAAAACGAGCATCTCCAGGGAGTGTGTTTGGAAAATACCAGGTTTTATTACACAGGCTGATGTTCAAACTGACAGTTTTATCCCAATGCACACTATCATGGGCATCTACGTGGGCCTGTGTCCCGGCTCCCTCCCTCCTGTGATGCTCTCAGGCGAGATGCTCACTCCTCACACACCCCGTGCTGCGGGTGCAGGGCCTTGGGGTTTCTTGGCAAAATTAAAAGGCCTCTCTGCTTCCCATTTCCACTCACAACTTCCCAGAGCTCTCCTAAGAAAGCTTGGAGAGAGCTGGGCTGAGGACTGCAATCCTCTTGGGACAGACAGCCACTTGGATCCGCAGGAGAGAAAACATCTCGGTGTCGGTGTCTCCCCGAGCCAGCACGGAGCCGAGTCAGTGTGCGTCACAGGGAGCGGAAAACAGCCCCAGCCTCAGACCACTGCTGCCATCGCTCTGGGAGGAGAAACCTAATGTACGATACTGGGGGAGAGAAAAGGGGTTTGGGCTGTCACAGAGGAGCCCCATCCAGGACATGGGGCACCAGGGCTTTGCACAGGGCGTGCGAGTGCTGAAGGAAAGAGAAAGGGAGGAGAGGAGGCAACGAGTGCGGGAGGATAATGCAGAAGAAAAGGGAAACAGAGAAGGGGTGGGGAGAACGATGGGGGCGGCCTGGGGGCAGAGCGACTGTGCCTTCAGGTTCAAGGGTGTAAGGGAGAGTCAGAGCGCTGTCCTGGGATGGGGGGCCCTTCCCTGGGCACCCCCAGAGCCCACGGGCTTTGTGGGGGGGTGCAGGGAAACAAGGAAAGAGATGGCGCGATACGGCGCTTGCAAATAGAAACGTTTGATGGCCTTTGCTTGCCGTGACAGTGACAGTGTGGCAGCAGGAACAGTGACGATATTAGCGCATTTCTGTTGGTGTTTCTATTCCATTAGCTCGTAAGAAAACCACGCAGACGGGCCCGGCAGAGGAGGGTGAGAGGTGAGGAGGAGTGGGTGAGACAGAGAGGATGCCGATGAGCAGCGGGGTCACGTCCAAGAAAGAAGAAGGAACAGCAGCGGAGGGGGGCAGCAGCTCTGGGGCAGGTCTGAGACTGCGCGGCGCTGACTCACGAGCACATCACCTCTCTCCGAGCTGTTCCAGCTGCTGCTTCCTCTGACACTCTGCTTGCCTTCATTTGAACCTCCGGTCCCCTCTGTGCTGTGGGCGAAAGCCCTCTGCACAAGCCGTGCCCCTTCCCGTGCTTGGATGTAGATTTGGGTCTCGCCTTCATTAGTCCAAAGGTAGAGTCCTGCCTCGAAGCAGAGGCAAGGAGCACAGAAGTGCCTGGGGCCGTGTCCCCCCAGACTCACCTGGACTTGAGGGCAACTCTTGCTCACAGTGCCTGGCCTCGGCGCTGAGGGACGTGGAGCTCCCACAGACCTTCTGCCCCAGCTCACGTCCCTCTGGGCACGTGGAGATGAGAGTCATCACCCTTCACACCTTCCCCATCACAACACAGCCTTCCATTCCCAGCTTTCTCTTTCCCTCTTTTGTTCCTTTTGCCTTTTTCTTGTCTCACCCAGCACCTCCACATCTTCTTGTCCCTGTCAAAGGGAAGTCCCTTTGCTCCGGAGGTTTCCTGGAGAACAGCACTAGCTGTGGTCGTTTGGCAGGAGGAAGGAGAAGGGACACCGAGCAGGTCGTGGGTGGGCTCGAAGGTGCCAATGTCCATCCAGAGCAACATCTGCCTCTTGGCTGGTTTGTGCTCGGCTCGGCAGCCAGCCGTGCTGGCCGTGGGGGCCAAGGGACGAGGCCACCCCTGCGTCCCCGGCTTTCACTGCTGGGTTTCAAGGTCGTCTCTCCACAGGGAATCTCACCCTGCTCGGGTGTTTCTGAAGCAATACTTGTTCTCCTCCCAGGACTGAGCGCTGATGCACAGAGACGAGCCAGCAAAATCATGGCTAAAATGGGGGAAGTTTGGTGAGCAAGACAGAAAAACCTGCCTGGGTTTTCCTGGGGAGATCAGATCAGCAGATGGGAAAAAGGATGCAGCTAGTGCCCCCCCTGATCCTGCCCCCCTCCACAGAGCACAAAACCATGGGGGTTTGACTGAGAAAACAGCAACATGGACTTGAACAAGGTCGAACTGCCAAACCCTTAATCCTTGGAGCCCTGCTGATCCACAGGCTTGACTTGCCAGCATGAGTTTTTGAAGTTGATGGCACACATGGGGACGAGGTGCCCTGTCCCTGTGCTGGCGCAGGGCAAGGAAAACCTGCTCGCAGCTCCTTGCGGGACCGTGCAGTTTGGGGTGCTGGCCTTCCTCCTCCGGCACAGCTCAGCTCCTTTCCAACCCACTGCTTCCTCTGACATGGACTTGCAAATCCCTTCATGTCTACCTGTCTGGAAATACAAATGCCCCTGCAAAAGCCCCTTCTTAAGGCAAACACCCAGGGGAAGGCTGCAGAAGTTCAACTTGACTGTCACGCAAAAGGAGAACTCACTGGGCGACCTAAAAGTCTTGGAAAGAAAAACAAGATCAATATTTGCAGAGATTTGTAGGATGCTTGTGCCTGAAAACAACAGCTGGGACCTGGCTTCTCTTTCCTTGCCCAGCGCCGGTGATGCCCCGGGCTAGTGTGTCACCACTCTCCCCTGCGCTCTCCCGCCGGCTTTGGGGATGCAGAGGCTGAAATTCCTGTTCACGCACTCTTGGCACCAGTGAAAAAGCAGCTACAGTTCTAGCTCCCCGTGCATTGCTCATACTTACAGCTTAAACATTGCCTTCTACTCAAAAGAACAAAGATAAAATATCAGGAATTCACAGTTTTTATTCTCTTTCTTATGCCCACCCATCTTCCCCTGCCATCGATGTCAAAAAGTCCTCATCGTACAGTAGCCTTTGCCAGTGCGGCACTCAAAGGGTTAACAAACCACGGCTTCTTGGACAGATAAGACATAAGCTCATTCACCACCGGTAGGAACACGTGGACGGTTGTGTTACAGAACACCTTAGGGTTTCCTGTAGCGATTTTTGGGGGTTTCGCCACATCCAGTGATGTCGCAGGAGAGAACGTTGGGCTTCTTCCCCAAGCCGATGCTTCCCAAGAGATCGGGAAGCTCGCGAGTGATGGCCTTCTCGATCTTCTCTAGGAAACACCCTCCCATGTAGGAACACTGCTGAGACAGCAGCTTAAAGCTGGTGATGGGGTTGATGCCAAAGAAGTCCTTGTAAGCCTCACGGTTGGGGAGGTCAAATTTGCTGACATTGGTCTTTGCCAGAATGGACTTAAAGATAAAGAACTTGTCAGGATCTTCCACAATGTCCCTGAACACCAGTTCTCCATCGCTAAAGAAGGTCATTTTGTCCTTGTAGGTCTGTAGATAGCGATCGACCAAAAGGGCGTGGATGCGCACCCGGATGGCGTGCTGGCGTATGAAGGCGATCTTATTTTCCATCCTGTTCTCAATCACCTGGTTGAGATCTTCCAGGAGCGATATCTCTTCTTTGAGGAACAGGTCTTTGTGGGTATCCGGATGGTACTCCTGGGGCCAGAAGGAGCTCACGTACACCCTGGGTGGCTCTGTGACGTTGATGAGAGGAGCCAGGCTCCAGAACAAGGCACCGTAGACCCTCATGAGCTCCTGGGTAGCCAGGCTGTCGGCTTTGTTCAAGATGATTCGGATCTGAGACTCGCGGCCCTTCAGCTGGCGAAACAGCATCTCCAGCTCCAAGCCCACGTCCAGCTTGGTAGGGTCAAAGACAACGAAGATGAGATCGGCTCTGTCAATGAACCACTGGCACACGTCATTGAACGGGTAACCTTGAGGAGAGGAAAGAGAGAAATCCAGCAGAAATGGCCAGCACAGGATGAGTCCCTTCAGGCCAAGGGACAGATAAACCCTGAGCCTGCCGTGCCTCACACCCCCTCCGGGTTGGACAGGGTGTGCGACTCAGCGGACTTCCCATGCAGCCTAGAACCTGTTTCTCATGTGCTAAAAACACTTCTGAGTTTCTTGGCATGAAAACCCATTCCTGTGTGTCTGGGCCTGCGACTACATGTCTTCCTCAGCCTCACCACCAAATCTTCTTTCTCCCTGCTGCTGGCCACAGATTCCTGCTGCTCCTGTGAGCCACATCGTTGCTTTCCCCAGTGGGCACCAAGTGGGTCAGGAAGCCCTGCTGATCTGTCCTGGCATCCCAGGTGCCGTGGGGATGGACTGGTGCTTCTCTGGGCCCTCCTGTAGCACCCGCCATTGGCAAAGCCTGGCTCCAGGGGTGACAAAACGGGGCATGAAATTCTCAGCTGAGGCAGACGATCAACAACCCACAGAGTCCCTGAGAAACACCTCGCCGAAAGGCCTGTCTGCCACACCTCCGAACAGCCGAAACGGCTGCTCTGGCTGCTGACACTTGGGTGTGTTCCCCACGTCCCAGCTGCTGCTGCCATAGCCATGGGCAGACAAATGTCACCATCCCCTCCGATGCAAGACCCTTTTGTAGCCTTAGGCTCTTCCCCGTTGTGCTTCAGCCATCTTTGTCATCTCACATCGTTACAGCATCTTTTCTGGAGTCCCTTAGATGAACCCAGTAAACCCCTACCTCGTTCTTGCTGCTTGCGGTTTTCAATGATGCCCGGCGTGTCCACGAAGGTGACTCGCTCCAGCAGTTTGTGGGGCACCTCGATTCCTATCAGCTTCTCCAAGAAGTTCTGCCCAAACTTCTCCAGGGGTGAGAAGGAGCGGGCGCTGTCAGCAGCCATCACGATGCCCTCGATGGTCTTCAGCTTGGGGCCGTGCATGATGACAGTGAATTCGGAGGTGGTGGGTTCTGCCCCTGCCCAGCAACGAGAGGAGCAGCAGAGCTGTGAAATCCATGCCAGGCAACGGACATGACAGGCCTGGGACTAGCCAAGGAGCATCGCTCACTTGCCAAGAGATGCTGGGGGAAGGCAAGCAGTGGGGCTAAGAAATTCTTGCCAAACCTCTTGAGAAAATGCCAGCAGGGCTGTTTTTTTGTGGGGACTGGTTGTTCTGGAAGTGGCCTGACTGTACAAGGCACCCTGGAGAACCACCTCTCGGGAGCCCGCAGAGCTGGCCACGGACGTCTGCCCTCAGCTGCGAGATGACATCTGTGGGAGCAGGGAGGAGGGGAGGGGAATGGCTTTTCTCCTGGGAGGGCAAATTAATTGGCTCCACGTGAGGAGGGAAGGGGAGAAGACAAAGGCGAGTTGCCCTTGTGACGTGACCACTGCTCTCACGGTCAGGGTTGGAGGCAGCGAGCCCTGCGCTGCGGGATGGGGACGCTGCTGGGGGAGATGCCCTCCTCCTCCCAGGGGAGGGTGGACAGGCCCTGGGCCGTGGTGGAGAACCTCTCCCTCCGCCTGGCACCGCAGCCGGGCGGCACGGACCGGATTGCAACCCCCCTGCCGTAAGGAGGGGGGGATCGAAGAGCTGTGGGTGGGAATTGCCGACCGCACGGACGCAGAAGTGCCGGCGCCAGCTCAGCCCTTGGCAGAGCAGGGAGGGAGCGGTGAGCACGGTACCTGTGTAGAGTTGGTAGGGAGTGTCGTCCAGCCCGAGGAGGTAGTTTATCATGGAGGATTTGCCGACGCTCCACGGTCCCAGGAATAGCACCATTGGCTTGGAAGTGATCTCCCCATCTGCAGAGAGGGGAAATAACAAGAGGAAGTGAAGGAACAATAGCCGTCGCCACCGGGCGATTAACTCCCGGCTGTAACGAGCATCCCATCTGAGCGGCGCGGTGATGCTGCCGGGGAAACAGCCGCCCTTTTGGGGCCGCCAGCCATTCACGAGCCAAGGCATCGCCCAGCGACGGGCCCCGGTGTCTGCAGGAGCGGGATGTTACCATGCTCTGCGGGGGGACCCCACCTCACTTCTCTGAGGTTTGGCCCTTCTTAGGCAACGGAAGGACTTGGAGGTCTTTTAAATCTTGTCTGGGTTCGGTTCTGGTTTAGCCAGAGTGAGTTTGGGGCTGGCTGCAGGTGGGGGGGGGGGAAGTGTTGTTTGAAGCACGGGACACGCGAAGGAGGTGGCCATGCCGCAACCAGACGAACGCCTCGTGCGAGGGGAGCTGGCGCGGTTGAAGAAGCAACACCACGGCACTGTGCTTGGTAAGCGCGGTGCGAGCCTTGTGCCAGCCGCCTGCAAGCCTTCCCACCGTACCCTCACAGGGATCTGCCCCCGGGTTGTGGCTCCCAGCCCCCCGGTCGAGCAGAAGGTCCCGGACCACGCGTGGGCTGGGGGCGAGGCTCCAGCCGGGCGCGAGGAGGGCAGGCTGGGCGAACAGCCCTGCTCTGGGCTTGGGGAAAAGCGGGAGGGGAATGAACTACAGTCCCCATCCCGCACTCTTCAAGTCCCGCAGTTTGCTGAGGGGCTCGGGGAGGCTGGCGACGGGTCCGTAAGGACCTGCCCCCACCTCACACGAGCAGTCCGGGGGCACGACGGTCGCTGGACACGCGCAGCCGCTGCCCCCAGGAGCAGTGCTTGAGCGGGACTCGTGCAGTCACCCTGTGCCCATATCACTCGGCGCCCCCAGCCCCCCAGCCTCTGGGCCAGCCCCCAGGATAGCCATGAGCCTGCAAGTCACCTTGAGTCCAAGTTAGGCCAGAAATGGAAGTAAAAAAGTGAGTGCCTGAGGAGCTGGGAGCTGCTGTCTCTCAGGCAGAGCTGAGCCTTCCTCCGTGGCCCAGGGCAAGGAGATGCCCTCGGGGGACCCATGCTGCCCTCGGCACCCTTTCTTCGACCCCACGCCTAAGGCAGAGCTATTTTCCCTGCAGCGGCTGAGAGACCTCGCTTCTCCATGGCTGCTGCCCACGCAGGAGCCAACAGTTTTCCAGCAAGCCAGGGATCCGTCTCCAAGGCTCAGGGAGCCACAAAGCCCACACGGCGCTGAGCTCCGGCTCCTGAGGGTGCTGGAGGGCACTGCATGGCGGCTCCGCACCAAACCCATTTGACCATGGGTGCAGGAGTTGGGCCAAGCGTGTCAACCTCCTCAAAAACAAATGTTGAAACTTGGGACTTTCGTTATTAATCATTCCTCTGTGCCACTCTATCGTTGCTGCTCTGTTCGCTTGCTGGCTTTAATTGGGTTTCGGATGATGATGATGATTATTATTATTATTATCCCCTGTGATGTTGTGCCAGAGGTTTGAGGCGGGTCCCCGCGTGCTCTTTCGTAACAGGTACCTGGCCAGGCGTGGCTGTGTGAAGGCAGGCAGCCCGCGGGCCCCGGCTCCGCTCCACATCCCCACCTCTGCGCCGAGGTGGGCAGCGATGCAGGCGCCTCCCCCCCCCCCCCCAGTCACCGACAGCTCCTCGAGTCCATCTCTACCCCCGTGCTTTGGGAGCGGGGTGCTGGCACCCCATGGGCTTTGTGGGCAGCGCCAGGCACTGGATGCTTGCAGCTGTCCAGGTAGCAGAGCAGCTCTGAGGATGTGAGGCCATTCATGGGTCCTCCTCACTGCTGCCCCCGGGGTCTGGGAGAGCAGAGAGCATCTCCCACCCGGGAGGGTGCTGGCCTGGCATCTCTCCCTGCTACGTCCCCCCACTATGTCTGTCAGCACCGATTTGGATCACCTTGATGGTCCGGCCAGGGGAAAAGAGCCGGTCCCCGCCGGCTGCATGGCAGGGATGGCGGCAGCTCCATCACGGCGGCTCTCTCCAGCCACCCTGTGGCTGCTCGCTCCCAGCCCAGCCTGTCTCGCTCCCAGCTCAAGCTCAGCCCAGCTCAAGCTCAGCCCAGCCCCAGACAGGCACGTCCTGGTGGCATTTGCAGAAGCAGTCGCACGCTGGTGCGTGGTCAGGCCCTGCCCGCGAGCAGGAGGGGGTCCTCAAACCTTGCCCCCCTTCATCTGTGGTCCTGCTAAAAACACAGCGACTTAAAACACAGCTCTAAGCTGCCGGGTTTGCAGGGTAAGGAGCATGCTGCGATCCTGCAAAGCACCTGGCAAACAAGGCCAGGAAGGTCCCATCACCCTCCCCAGAGCCTGCATTTGTCTTGGACTGTTCAGATCTGGGGGTAGGAGCAATTTGGATGTCCAAATAGATGTTTTTTTTTTCCTAGGGCAGTGGCTTTCTGAGTGTTTTTTCCATGTTGCTTGCGATGCCAGGCTGCCCTTGTGTGGGAGCACTGCTGCTCTGGAGCTGGGATTAACCCCAGGCTGGGTCTTCTCCCTCCTTGTCCTCAAGCCTAGCAGAACTGCCTGGTGTCGGCTCACCCCCTGTTGTGCACGTCTGTCCCGAGGGTTCCAGGCAAAACGGAGGACGTGTCGAAACCCCCTTCCTCTCCTGGTTCAGACTGAGGCAAGGGCACAAAGGTCTCGCTCTGTCCTCAGACCACCCAGGAAGGCTAAAACACCGGGGGAGCCTCTCCCAGCATCGCCCACACTGCCACCCCACCCCTGCACCGCAAACACCACCGGCCACTCTGCCTACGGCAGGGACGCGCTGCCCGGCAGCCCTTGGAGGGCCGACCAGCTCTCTCCCAAAGCTTCAAAAGCCACGAGTATCGGCACGGCACGTGTGCCCACAGACGGAGGGACCAACCACACGTGGCTGCAGATTGCCTGCGCCTGCCTCCGCGCCGTGCTCCCTGTGTGCATACGCCCACACAAGCAGCACGCGTGTGCGCGCCTGCAGCTAGAGATGCAGATAAGAGAGCTATCGAAATATGCTATATATATCTACAACCCTCTCTGCTGCCGGCACGCTGGCACGCCGGGGAGCCAGAGGCCCTCCAGGTGCTGGCAGGGCTCTGCTGCGTCTGGGGACGGGGTGCGGGGGAGCCCTTTTTGGCAGGATCTGGCAGTGGGGACCGTGGGGTAGGACAGGAGGGGCAGAAGATGGGGTTTCCCTGTCTTGTATCACAGCAGGGATATTGTCCCTGCGGCCCAGCACCAGACCCTGAGGAAGGGTTGGGTGTTGACTGGCATTTTTTGGCCTGTCCCCCATCTCCTGCTTCTCCGGGGGACACCTAACAGCGCACCCCAAGCAGGACAGGCAGGGAGAGGAGCCAGCTCCGGGTCCTGAGGGGGATGAGGCTGCTGTGCAGGGGCCAGTCTGTGTTACTGAGAGAGCTGCTGCAGGCTCATCGGCTTAAACTGCAGCCGGCGGGGTCTAGGGTGGACATTCAGGAAAGTTTCTGCACGTAGGAGGGTGATGAAGGGTGGGAAGAAGTCCCCTCCATAGGGTGAGCTATCTGCTGGGCTCCTCCAGTTCATGCCAGGGGTGAGAGATCGACCTGCAGATCCACCACAAAGGCCTCTGAGTCCCGGCTAGAGCAATACACAACTTCTTGAGCCTTAACGCAGGAGGGAAAGGTGTCAAAGCCTGGGGACTGCAGGAAGGAGGGGGCTGTCAGGTTGCACAGAGTCAGGGACAAAGTGCAGCGACACCCGTGCTGAGCTCTGGAAGGGCTGGGGACACTGGCTCCGGTGAGTGCCGTGGGACGCCGAGTACCGGGGTCTGCTCAGTGCCTGGGAAGCGTGGCTCTGTTGGGGCGGGTGAATGGGAAAGCTGGGAGGCCAGCAAAGAGCTTCGGCAGCGCTGGCAGCATGCAGGTAGCAGGCAGCAATACCAACCTGTGGCGGAGGAGCCCAGGGTGCGTCCGGGGTAAGCTGTTAGCAGGGGACACGGGGAGAGAGAAAAGGTACCGTGAGTCGAAGGAGGGACGCGGCTGCCTGGGGCTGTCCCAGGCCGAGGAGGGAGCTGAAGACTGGCCCTGGCCTTCTCGTGGGCAGGAAAAGCCAGCGCTGGCCACATTCCCAGCAGGAGAGGAAGAGTTACAGCCTGTGAGCAACGAGACCTGCAGCTACCGGGACAAGCACTAAACCCCAGCCTGCCCTGCACGCCGGGGACGTGGCCTGGGGGGAGCAGCCCCAGGAGAGCTGCTGCGTCTGAGACAGCACCCCAACCCTCCTGCCCCGCTGAGCCAGTTATTGCCTTCCCCAGCAACGTTCACCGAGCAAACGGAGCCCGACAAGCTGCGGTCAGGACAGCGACCAACCCCGACAAGTGTCCTGACCACCCCAGCGGCGTGGTTACACGTACCCAGACCTAGGGTGGCTGGCGATGGCAACTGGGAGGTCATTCCCTATACGGGCCCGGTAATGGGCACATACACGGTTATGAGGGTCACCAGCACGCACCGCAAACCGGCACGGCTTCACGGCAAGCTTCCCATCACCAGGCTGGAAGAGTCCCTCACCCCCGAGCGAGGCGCAGTGCCTGTGGGGCGGCCCCGCTGCGACCAAGCGCAGAGGAGCCCCCGGCCGGAGCGTGCCCACACCCACGGCAGAGCGGAGGAGTGGGAGGGCGGCAGGCGGGGAACGGGAGGTGGCACCTGCCAGGCTTCAACACGCTGCAAGCAGAGGGTGTGGGATGAGTTTCCTGGGATGCACCCCGAAATTTCGGAGTCTTAGGCTGATGGCGGCAGTCACAGTTTTCCCGGGACAGGTGACACTCAACTACACGGGTGTTTTTGCGAGCCGTGGGGAGCAGAGAGGCTCCTTGGATTACACTGACGAGTGTGCACGAGCAGAGCCGATGGGGAGGGAGACAAAATGGAAGGCTGCCGCGTAATGGAGGGGCGAAGGTGCTCGCGACGACACCCCTCTATATTGGCTTACACCTCCAAAGGTCACACATATTCCATGACAGCCCTGTCCCACTGCTCTCCCAGCTGTCCTGCTCCTCCCGGCCAGCTGAGCCGGCAGCTCTGCCACGGGGGGTGGGCGCAGGGGGACAGGCTGCGGGCACCTCCCAGCTTGCAGCAGCACCAGCGGTGCAAAAAACCCGCTCAGGACAGGGGCACCACGCAGAGGAAGCAGCTGAGAAAGACCCCTCAGCCCCACCACGTCCTCACCTGCCTTGCAAGGTCAAGAGGGCTCCCTGGGCCAGCCCTCTAACTAATTTGCAGGTTTCTCTAATTACACTGCTAATGAGAGATTGGGAAAAGCTGGTTCTGTGGGTGTTAAAAGCAAACTGCTGGGCTTCAGGTTTCCAGGATGGGGCTGTGTGTGCCTGGATATGGTTGGGGTGTCAGAGGTGCTTCAAGGGGCCTGGTGGCAGGAGAAATGTTTTTGAGGGGAGCATGGCCAGGGCCTCTCGTGGCTAAGCCAAGGGCTGGGGGCAATGCAGCATCCACGTGCCTTTCCCTGAGGGCTGGGAGGCTGTGAGTGTGGGTTACCAGCTCTGGGATTGCATCGGCACTGCCGGGAGGGTGTCACATAGGACACCACAGGCTGTGCTGGGAGCTGACCTGGGGGACTTTCAGCCCGAAGGGGAGGTTGTTCCTCATGGTGAAGTGGAGCAGACCACGGAGAGCTGTGAGATGAGGCTGTGAGGAACACCAGGGCCTGCTGCCTGTGGCGAGTCCGGCTCAGGAGCTGAGTTTGGGAGGGACCTTGGGTTGGCAAAACACAAGGGTTGGTGGTTGTTTCCTTGGGAGCTGGGAGGGAAGAAGCCAGCAAGGGTCTGCAAAACAGTTGCTTCCTCCCAGAAAGGGAGCAGAGAGGTGACTGCTCGGGTGTGGGATGGCTGAAGGGCAGGGTGGGATGTCCTGAGCAAGGAAACGGGTTGCACACTGGAAACTGAGGCTGGGGGGCTGCATCCTCTAGCAGTGAGCAACCAAGCGAGGGTTGGAGGCTGGAAGCCCACCAGCTACCCCTGTAACCCCAAATGTTCTCTCCGACGGTGTCCCGGGTTGAGCTGACAGCGCGTGCAGATGCTTGCGCTGCCACCAAGACAGGCCAAAGCAGCTCGGAGAGGAGGTCGGGGTGTTGCAGAATCTGTGAGCTCCCGGATGGAGGCAGCTGGGACAGGGCATGGCTGGGCTGTCCTCGCTGCACGGTGGCACCGCTGAGGAGGCGCGGGGACGTGCACCGGGGTGCAGGCCCTACAGCTCGGTGCTGCTCCTTTCCAGCTGTGTGAGGGAGGGGACAGGCCGGCGCGCCGGTTGGGTGGCAGCAGCTGTGGGGTGGTGGTCTGCTGGGCACCCCCCCCGTGCTGACTGCTGCTTGGCGCGTTGCTGTGACCCCCCCACACACTTCCCTGGTTACCCTCCCCCATGGCAAGCAGCACAGAGCGAGGCAGGCAAAGGCAGCGACGTGGAGCTGGCTGCGGGAGCAGCTAGGCACAGCTTGTGTTTTATGAGACCTACAAACATCCCTTCCAGAATCCCCCGTGAGTGGGTGGTGGGTGATGTCCAGGGTGCTCTGTTTCTTGAGGGGACAGGGCCTGGGCTGGTGATGAGGACTCTACAGCCCTGTCTCCATGTGTCCCCCATGTTCCCCACTGGGTCTAAGCTGGAGATGGGCTGGCTGGGTATGGAGATGTTCAAGCCTGCTTAAAAAATGTCTGATATGGATTTAGAAGTTGCATTTGGGCTGAAGTGGGGGTGCCTGTGAAACAGGGGTTCTGCTCTAAGGGGATGTGTCCCAGGGGTTGGCTCAAATGAACCCATGCACTGGTGGAGCGGAGTCCAGCTGCGATAAGAAGGTCTGTGTGGAGGGTGTATCTAGGTCCTGCCTTGCCAGGAGGGAGGGCATGGCCCCAGGGTGCATGGGGCTGGAAACCTGGGGCGGGAGGCAGAACTTTGGAACAAGGAGGGACCCTGGCAGGAGGCTGATGTGGTCATGCAGCCCTGGGACACCGGCAGCAGGGCCTCCAGCATCCCCCGCCTGCCCAGCCAAGGCACAGGGGGCATCTGGCCCTGGCTCAGGACAGGGCTTGAGTAGGGGCTCACAGGAGAGTTACCCCAGGGAACAGGGACTTGGGCTTGAGCCATCTGTGACTGGAAAATGAGACTGCTTGTGTCCTACGGGTCACAAGAGCTTCCTGTAGCTTGTAAGCATCTTGGGGCCAGGGTTGCATTTTCCTCTTCCGAAGGGACACGTGTACTGCTGGGGCTCAGCCCAAGCCGATGCCTGTGGCCACAGGGACTTGTTCACCTAATCCAATGTGTCTAATTGCCAAGGACTGGAAAATCTAACTCCCAGGATGAGTGAAAGCTGCTGAGCTTGAGGAATACCCTGCCCGTATGGCTGTGTCCTGTACTGAGCAGGAAGGATGCCAGCTCCAGCTACTTCCAGGAAGCTCATCCCCAGCCTTGAGAGGTCCTAAGCTTCCCTGCCAAGCCTGTTTCACTGGGCCGTGATCTCAAGCTTGGCACAGGGACAGGGCATTGATGTTGAGCAGGTGGAGGACCTGAAGCAGGCAGAGTTCAATGCTCAGTCCCCACAGATGGTCCTGGCAGCAGATGGGCTAAGGCAGATGCAGGAATGCCTGCCGCTGGGTTCACTGGGGCATGTCCTCTAAGCCCAGCATGTTCACGGCCTTCTTGGGAAGCTGCAAAGGAAGACAAACTATCCGAGCCTTTCCATGACCTGCTCTCTGCACTGTTATCTGCATCCCGATGACCTGATGGTGCTGGAGACCCCGGTGCCCATGGCATTACCTGTGATCTCATGCTGCCTCAGCTCGTTGTATCTGTAGGACTGCTCCAGGGGCTTGATGGAGGAGTGGTAGATCTTCCTCAGCCGCTGCAGTACTCCTGCGAGGACAGAAGCATGCAGATGGGTGAAAGGCAAATGCTCCCACCCTTGAGTCCCTCCTAAGTAAGCTGCTGGGCATTCCCTGCAGTTCTCGAGGGTGTCTCAGCTGTGGATCAAGGGACTTGGCTCACAGTTGAAATCTTGGCCAAACTGATCCCAGTCACACATTTTGATTCCCGTTTCCCGCTGGGCGCTGTCCCCATCTGCTGCCAGTCTTGCACGTGCCAGCAGCTGATGGAAGTCACCTCTCATTAAGGCTGTTTACTACTTGGCACCACCATGGTGCCAGGGACCCCTGGCACAGCCCCTAAGCTGCTCGCTAGGAGAAAGGGGACTTTTCCACAGCAGCTGTTATCACTTTCTTTCCAGTCCAGACTGCCCACGGGGCCAGCAGAAGCAAGCCTTATAATAGCAAAACCCAATAAATAATTGGAATAAATACCCCAGCCCCTTATTTCAAGTTGTCCCAGGTTTCTCTGAGCAGGGATGTGGCTGGCTCAGGCTGATTCCTCATCTGCATCTTTCAGCCTCTCTACCCTCTTAATTCTTGTATGCCCTTGGGCCTGTCTTTAAAATACCTATAAAATATTAACCCAAGCGCAGCAAAAGGGGCTTTTATTGAGGATATGGTGTTGCTGGACCTACCAGAAGCAAAGTTAAAGCTAAAACGCTCTAGAGAAGGAAAATCCTATCCGTGTTCTTGGTGCAGCAGAATGGCGAGATGCCTGTCCTGCAGGGATTATGTGGGCTGAAGGAGCAGGGCATGCATAGCTCGGTGCCACCCAGGCCCCCTCACCTGAGAAATCGTCAGCAGGTTTGTCCTCATTCAGCTTGAGGGTGTTCTCCAAGTGGGACCGGTCGCGCTTGGTCGGCTCGCTGGCATCTTCAACCTCTTCTGGAGGAAAAAGGCAAGGAGACCTGTTACCGCTGGAGGGGGGAATCCACGCGGGAGCTCACACAAAGTACTGCCAGGGAGATGACATGGAGGAGCACAGGCACCGCGAGCCCACGGACCCGCCGGGCGCCTCGGCAGCCGCCGTTGCCTTTGGCATGCTGCGCAGTTTCTGTTTTGCAAAGGCTCCTGGAGGCTTGGCGGGGGCTGCCGGGGGAAGAAGAACGGCGGGCAACTGCTTGGCTGCGAGGAGGGGCCGGCGAGGGAGGCATGCCATGTCCCCCTGCGGGGAGCGAGGCCCGGCTGCTGGTGGGGAATGCGAAGGACGTGCCTGGAAGGGGCTCCCGGGGCTGGGGTGGAGTGCGAGCACGCGTGGCACCTGGAGCCCGAGGGGCCCCTGCCCGCCTCGGCGCTTCCCCCCCAGCTGCAGCTCCTGCCGGGCTAAGCCTCAACTGCAGGCGCACCCTGCTCTGCCTCTCTGTCTGTCCGCTCCCCCAGAAAATTATGCATTGAGCCAGAGACATGGGGATGTGCAAGGCTGGGGCTGGCTCTGGGGCGACCCATCCTGGCTGCCTTGCCTTTGCCAGTGGGGATGTTCCCTCCCGCTTCTCCTGCCTCTGTCCCCGTATCAGGCTGGAGCCCTCTGCATGGCTCGGGGGGGGCCTTGGGGACCCCACGTCTCCATGCCAGGCCTGGGGAGCGTGAGGCAGCTGCCCCCCACCCAGGGTGGGCACCCCAGTGTCCCTGAGACAGGGAGACAGAGGTGTCCTTGACCCAGAGGTGCTGGCACACCAAGGTCCCCGTGCAGCTCCAAGTGCTTTTTGATATCAGGAGCTGGGTCGAGCTCTAGACAGGGCTTGGGGATAGGCCTGAGGACAGACGCTGGCTGAGCTGGGGGTGCCTGGGCCAAGCAGGGCACTGCCAAACCCTGGGACTGTGTTGAGTGTCTACCAAGCGTTGGGCTGAGGAAGACCTTTTGACTTGCCAAGTAAAGCCACACAGAACAAACTGGGTTTCCCCTTTGGCACAAATGGGCACTTTTTGAGCTGGCATGTTACAAGTGAAAGCAGAAAAAGACTCATCTGGGTCTGAAGGTCACTGTCTAACCTGCGGGGCAAAGTCCACAAGTGTTTCTAGGAAATCATGGTGAGGGGTGTCCCTTTTCCTGAGCTAGCCTTTCACTGACCAGAGCTGGTGCATCAGCAACTCGTTGGTCTGAAGTAGCTCTTCACACCTCCCCTACGAGGCAAGGGCTGGTGGACAAGAGACCCACCAGCCCGGACAGCATCCTGCCTTTGCACCAAGAAAGCTGGGGGTCCAGAGAACTCTGAGGGTGGAAGATAAAGAGCCTTTAAGAGGTCTGCGGGTACTGAAAGGGGCGTGGGCGTTTGATATCGTATCCATGTCCACAGCCCAGAGCAGAACTCATGGGCTTAAAGTGCAGCGAGGGAAATGTCAGCCAGCTTTGGTACTGTTGCAACGAGCATCTGCATTGCAGGCATCCCTGGGCTCCTTGATGCCCGCAGCGGTTAGGGGCAGGCACGGGAAGCACAAGCGTTAGGAGAGGGCCATGCACTAGGCGCGGTTTAATGTGCCAAGCTCAGCTCTGCCGGGGTTGATAGTAGGTCACTCTCGCTGCTACAGCACACCGACAAGAAAAGACTCCAACCTATCTGGCTGTGCCGGAGCTCGGTGGCAGCTGGGTGGGTGCTGTGGCCAGGTGGGCTCTCTGCTTCTGCCAGTGATGGCTTCTCTGCAGGGGGGTCTTCTGCTGCTGGGGGGTTTTTCACTGCTGCCGGCGGGTCTTCTGCTGCTGGGGGGTTTTTCACCGCTGCTGGGGGGTTTTTCACCGCTGCTGGTGGGTCTTCTGCTGTTGGGGGGTTTTTCATTGCTGCCGGTGAGTCTTTTGCTGCTGGGGGGTTTTTCACTGCTGCTGCTGGGTCTTCCACTGCTGCCGGCGGGTCTCCTGCTGCGTCCCCACAGGGTGGGTGATGGCAGCTGGCAGGCCCATCCCTGGATTCTCCCTGGCTGGCAGCTGCTGGTTTGCCACGACCATTTTTTCTGGATGCACTAACTGCTTCCTTGTCACCCCCTTCAGCTCTGTTCTCCAGCCCCGCTGGCCTGGCACCATCTTCCTCAGACTCTTCCTCCTCCTTAGACTCTCCTTCCTCCTCAGACTCTTCCTCGCTCACGTCTTCCTCAGACTTGCCATGTTCATCTTCCTCAGACTCTCCCTGCTCATCATTTTCCTCTGAGCTCTGCTTGCCCACTTCCTTTCCTGCCTTGGGTGCGGACACTGCTCTCGGCTCCTCCATCTTCTCTTCCCCAGGCTGCCTTTGCTCCTCAGAGGCTCCTTTCTTGGTGCCGGGCTCCTCATCCTCCCGGGCACGGAGGACATCTCGTGGGCCAGGCCCGCGGTTGCCTTCATGACGTGCTGCCTCAGGGGTGCCCAGCGTGGCGTCCTCCCTTGGGCCCTGTGTCTCTCCGAGCCCCTCCTGGCCCTTCTCCGTGGCGGTTTCCTCGGGCTGTCCATCCCCTGGCCCCAGGTCCCTGCTCAGACCGCCCGCCGGCTCTTCCTCCCCCTCTCCATGTCCCTCCTCGGCGGCGCCAGGCAAGGAGGCGTTGGTGGGGCCGCCATCCTGGTCCTCCTCAGGGCTGCCGTCGGCTGCCTTCTCCTCCAGCCTGGGCTCTGCAGCCGGCAAGGGCCCTTCGGCAGCACCGCCGGCACGGTCCGTGCCGGGGGCACGCGGCTCTAAACGATGAGAACAGCCCCGTCAGTCTTACCCGCACCAGCACTTGGCTACCGGGGCACCCACCGGCCCCCCCTCAGCGCCAGGGAGGGCCCTGAGGGAGGATTTGTGGCTGTTACCAAAGAGGCTTAAACTCTTTTCTAAACTTGCTCTAGTTCCAGCTCGATTTGTTTCGTCCCTGTCGCGAGAAGCTGGATGCAGAGGGGTGTTTGGCGGGGGGGGGGGGGGTGGGGGGGGTGGCAAAGCTGATGCTAGCAGGGGGCCCTGCGGCTGCGCTGGCCATGGCTGCCTGGGGCCGTGGCTGCCACCCGCCGCGAAGCGCTGCAGGGAGGTGGCAAAGCAGCCCTAAAAAAACGGGGGGAAAGGAATCAACAAAAAGCGTGGCTCGAGGGGCTGCGGGCGCTTGGCAGGTTAAAAGGATCCTTCCCCAGCCGTCCCTTGGGAGAGCATCACACCGGCCACGGCGGGTGGCTGGGCGAGGGGGAGGAGGAAGGGGCGAAGGGCTCCCCGGCACCGGGCTCTGCCTTTCCGCAGGCAGGGCCTGACCCCGGCAGCAGGGCTCGGGAGCTATTTATTGTGATCATCCCTTCACTAGGAAAGCATTTGCCGTGCCGTGCGGCTGGCGGGGACACAATGAGTTTGTTCTGCGGCCTGGGAGAAGCCATCCGTATTTTCCATAGGCCTCCAACTCCAATTTAACATTAGTCAACGGGTGCCAAAAATAAAAGATCATGGGCTATACTGTCTCCATTACAAACAGTTGCTGCTAGTCTAAATAATCCTCCGAAACGTCTAATGCCTGCATACCAGGGAAGCGTTTCAGAGGAAAATAATTCCTTTGTACTCCAGCTGGCAAGCAGATGCCAACCAGGAAAAAATGCCACCTCCACCCAGGCTGCGGGGAGGCGAGCGGGCAGCGCCGGGCACGGGCAGCGCCGGGCACAGCCGGCCGGCTGGCAGCCAGCCCTCTCCTCCGGCTCCTGCGCCGTGTCCGTGCCGGGCTCGCGGAGCCGAGGTCGGGGCAGTTGCAAGCCAACTTGCCGTGGCCAGGGATGCCGGGCGTTGCGGTGGCAGGTCTGTCTGTGCCGGGGACGGCGGCTGGGAGGGACGCGCTGTGCCTCGGCCCCGCCGGGGTTTCCAAGTCACTCGCGTGTGCAGCCTGGCACGGTGGAGCCGCCGCCGTCCCCGCGGCCCCTTGCCCTGCCGAAACCAGATGCGCGGGGTCACCCTCGCCCTGCCCTCGCCGACCGCCCCGGTCCTTTGCTGGCACACGGCTCGCAGGTGCCTCCGGGCTCCCAATTCAGCTCCCGGACGGAGGGAGACGGGTCCCGCGCGCCTCCCACCCGCCTCCCTCTCCCATCAGGAGCACCCCGCTCCTTCAGGTCACCTTCCCTTGGGACCCCTTAGGGTGCCCAGCCTCCCAGGAGCCACTCGAAGGAGAATGTGCTACGTCTGACCTGCAAAGCCCTGGGTGGCCGGGGGCCAGCATGCCCCTGCCAGGCCCCGGAAGCCTGGAGACCAGCCTGGGTCTCCTGAGGGTCCCCTCGGCCAACGGGGACAGGGATATTCTCAGCTTGACCCCAAAATAGCTGGTGACCTGGAGGGCTGGGGAGGGTCACGGCTGGGAAGCTGGGGGAGCAGAGCCAGGCAGAGGAGATCCGCGCATCCCGAGGGCTTTGCCCGGGGTCTGTGTGTCCCCTCTGAGCCAATGCAGGGGCACAGAGGGGCCATCACCCACGGTGGCTGGGCACAATGGCAGCCCCGGCACCCACCGTGAGCCTTCCCTTGTGGGAAAAGGGAAATACTCCCCAGGTGCTTCAACTGGGATGTTCCTGCCTGTCTGCTGATCGCAGACTTTATTTCCTGTGACCTTCAAGGTCTTATATAAAGTCCCTCTCCACCTCCTCCCTCCTGTTTCCCCTACATGGTCTCCAAATCCACCGCAAGGCAAATTGTGCTGATCTGCAGATGGCCGGCCGATGAGCAGCGAAATGGGACGAAGGTTATGGGCTTAACACCCTCCACGCGTCCGACGGAGGCTAAAAATACGGCCCAGCAACTGTATGGGGGAATCAGAAGGAGCTCGGCGGGGTGCGGACGGCGAAGCACCAGCCCCCTCGGCCACTGGCCCCGGCCCCTCGCCCTGCTGCCAGCCAGGGGTGACATCCACACCTGGGAGCCGTCCTGCGGGTCTCCGTGGACGCCGGGAGGGAGCTGGGACAGCCACGTTGTAAAGTGACACCGGGGCTCCCCTTGTTCGCGCCCTGCACCGTGCCAAGCAGCCGGGTGGCAGCGGAGAGGAGCCCTCGCCCCGATCCCCTTGGGGACCTGACCTCCCAGAGGGTCCCCTCGCGCTGTCCCTGCCCACCCCGAAACGCACACCCTTCCTCAGGGCTGGGAGGGCTGTTGGCTGCCTGGGGACCCTTTCCCCGGGGGCGACAGGGCCCTGAGGCACAGCTGTAGGGACCGAGAGCTCACGGCGGGGCTCTGCGTGCCACAAGATGCCACGGCTGGTTTGCACCCAGGAAAAGCCTGGTGCAGAAAGGATGATGGGTGGCTGCCGGAGGCCGAACGTGACCCTGCCACGGTGTCCCCTCCACCCCTGCGCTGAACGGCGAGGCCCTGGTGCTGAAATGGGTCCTCCGGGAGGGACAGCCCCGGGGCCGGTGGCTGGGGGCCGGCTAGGAGGGACAGATGGGCACAGGTGGCCCTGGGAGGGACGCGCTCCCCCTCCAGCAGAAATCGGAGCCCCGAGCGTGGGGCCGGCGATGCGCAGCCCCGCAGGGATGGCTTTTCGCACACCCCCTTCCCCGGCCCGCATCCCGGGCTCCTGCAGCACCCAGGGGAGTCATCCGCCGTGTCCTGCGAGTCCTGCTCTCCCCTTGTCCTCCCAGTGGGGTTTTGGGGGTGAGCTTGTACCCCAAACCTGTGTGTCGCTTCCTTCTCAGGGAAAGGCGAGGCTGACTCAAGCCTGAAGGCTGTGCTTTGTTCTGCGGGAAGTGGCTGGACCCAAAGGAGCCACGGCCCCGCGACACCCGGTCTTGCCCCCAGCAAGGGTTGTCCCCTGCCTGCCCCGGCCGTGAGGGGGTCTGCCGGGGAGGGGGTCCAGCGCCCGGGCATTGCGATGCTCTGTGCTGCTGCCAGCCAGCAGCCGGGCTTCTGGAAAAAGTAAGTCGAGGCAGATTAGCCCCGTGAGCCTGACCTCTCTGCCAGCACTGATCCTTCCCAGGCGGGAGGCAGGGCCAGGGGATCCCAAAGCGGGGGCCGTGCCCCTCACCCAGGCTCAGGCCTGGGCACCCCAGCCTTGCACACCCACCCCCCGGGCGCTCGGCTGGAGCGCAGCAGAGGACGGCGCCTCCTTCCCGCCCTTCCCGTGCCTCAGTTTCCCACTCTGCACCATCCCAGCAGAGCCCGGTGCCACTGGTGAGCCCTGCGGAGGAAGTGCCGGAGTTTTCTTGCCCACGTTTCACACGGAAGCCAGGGCAGGCAGGAACCTGGCTCCAGCACCAGTTCGGAGCTGGCCGGGCCAAAACCTTCACTGACCGGGAGAGGAAGGTGTCCCAAAGTGGCTCAAGAATCCCAGAGGACACAAGCACAAGGACGGCTGAGGATGGGGTTGGCTCTCCAGACCCTTGTGCACCCCGAAGCCCAGGACACCCAGCTACAGCATCCCATCCCAGAGGCTTTGTGGTCCCAAGGCACCCACCAAAAAGTAAGTATTTTCCAGTTTTTCAAAGCAGAGCCCAGCAGGGGTATAGGAAACAGCTTTGTCAAACTAACTTGACCTCATTTGTGGAGGAGATCATAAGTTTAGTTGAAAAAAATATATAAATTGATTTGATTTCTATAAATAGTTGACTAGAACTGCATGATATTTTGATTAAGAAAGGGTAAAGGAACATCACTAAGATGCACCAAAGGGATTAAACCCAGGCTTGGAGCTTTCTAAATATAGAGATGAAAATGGGGAATCACTTTTGTGGGGTGTTTTTTCAACTGTGTCCCCACAGGGTGCCCACCCTAAAGGTTTGGAAGAAAACCTGAACTCCCAACTTGCCGAAGACACAAAGATTGGGGCGGTGAAAGATAAAGCAGCCACCACTCTCTGGTCGGGGGGGGGGGAGATCTGGGTCTGTAAGCGAGCAGATGGTGAGAACGCAGCATGTATTTTGGCACAGGCAGATGTCACGCTGTAGGTTGAGGAACATCTACACGTGTAGGAACATCCCTTGTGGGGTCCGCAGCCCAGGGGGATGCGGAAGGACCCGAAGGAAATACTGTGCCATGACTGGGGCTGGGGGAACCCCTTCCTCCAGAGGTTGACACACCTGAGAGGTCACTCTGGTCCTGTCCCCGAGGCCTCCAGCTTCACCAACCCACCCCGGCCTTCCCTGGTGGCCCCAGGGGACATCCTCCACGCACTGGGTGTGAGTCTTCCTGGGTGGAGATTCCCCATCCCCCTTCTTTGGTCATCCCAAGGATTCCTGGTCACCCAGGCAGGACGGGGAGAGCCCTTGGACTTGTCAGCCTGGATTTTAATGCCCGATGATCCGTTGTCCCACAAGATCCTCAGATCCTTGGGAATGTCCGGGCAGAGATGCTGCCTGGCTGTGCCAAGCAGCGGTACCCAACCCTGGGGGTCTCTCCTGTGCCCCCCAAGCAGCAGGACATGGGGGGTCCCAGCTCAGCTGTCACACAGGGATGGGGCCACATGGCTCTGAGCCCTTTTCCATGGTGTGTCCCCACGAGCGGGGAGGTGGGCAGGGTCGAGCCACGCACCCGGCTGGCACCGGGGCCACGCTGCCAACACCCCCCAGCCTGGCTTGGGGGTGCCCGGCCGGAGACTCCCCAGCCCCTCCGCCAGCCCCCACCGAGCTCGCCGGCTTCCTTGGGCTATCGCTTACAAGGGAAATGTCCCCACGAGCTGAAAATAGCCCGGCGGAGCCCTGCCAAGGCATCGCTGCTATTCCTGCGGCGCCTGGAGAACGGGCCGTTTTATGAGCAATTTGGTCACCCTTGGAGCCGCCGGCCGGGCTGGGGTTTTGGCACGCCGGCGAGCCCGCGCTCCCCGGGCAGGCTGGTGGGTCGGCAAGGGGGGACCCGGTGGGGACACGGCAAGAGGGGACACATCTCACAGGGACCCGCTGTGCCTCACAGGGGCCGTGCACGAGCAAGGCGTCCCAGCCGCCCTGCCCAGCTAGCTGTCACCTACGCACCAGGAGAAGGATGGGAGAGGGTGTCACAGCGCGGCCGACCCGCTCGACCTCTGCCTGGATGGGTTCAGCCAGCAGTTAGGGAGAGAGATGGGGCACCCACGGGGGCTGGGATCTCCTCCCGGCAAGGTCCCTGGGGTGTGACAGGGATGTAGGTGGCACCAGCAAGCAAGATCTGTGGGTACCTGTGGCACCCCAAGCACCTTGCCTCACTGTGGCCACCCCTGCACCCAAGGGCAGTGGTGCCCGTGGTTGTGCTGATGCTGGGGGTGTGTGGAGTGAATCCAGTGGGATGTCACTGGGACACAGCGGTCCCCCCCCATCTCTGGGGAAGTTGGTTACGCTGGGGTGGTCAGGCTGAGCCCACCCAAAGTGACACAACCCAGGCGGTGGTGCCCGCCCCATCCTGGGAAGCGGAGCCCACCCTAAAGTGACACGTTGCAGGTGCTGGAGCCCACCCCAAAGTGACATGTCCTGGGTGTTGGGGAACACCCCCGGGGATGCCATGAGGCCATGGTGACGGAGCCACCCTGAGGTGACACCTCCCAGGCTGAGGAGTCCCCCCGGGGGCGGTGGCCCGGGCTCGCTGTCACCAGGAGAGGGCTGGGCCAGCCCCGTGGTGCCCTCTGCACTTGCTGCAGGAGGGTGCCAGCGCCCCAGGGCTTCCCTCAGCTCCTCGCCCAGCCTGGGGGTGGTGACGGGTGACGACGCAGCCCAGCGTAGCCCTCCCACTCAAATCCGTGGGTGGCTGAGGGAGGGCGGAACAAAGGCTCCCCAGGGCAAAGCTGCCGAGCAGTGCCCAGCCAGCACCCTTGGGGCCCGTTCCTGGTGGCCACAGGGACTCACTGTGGCCACCCAGCCTGGAAGGGATGGCCGGGATCTGCCTGGGGTGTGAGTGTGGGGAGAAGGACACCTTCCCCCGAGGAGGAACACCCTCGCCCTGAGCCATCACCCAGCCCCACGGTGGGTGCTGGCTCCTGACGGGGCTCCTGGCCGTGCCACGTGGGCCAGGGGCCGTTTTGGCTGGGGCTGCACGAGCGTGGGCGCAGGGCACCCTCCCACCCCCAGCCTCGGGGAGCGGTGACAGGGTCCCAGCAGCCCCAGGCGTCACCAAACCCTCAGCCCTGAGGGCTGCACCGCTACACGATGCATCGGTGAAGCCCCTGGCTCCCCACTGGGCTCCCCCCGCCTTCTCCTCACCAAAGGAGGAAGACAAAGCCCAAAAATGGGAAAACAACCCACGCTGAGCCACCTCCTGCACCCCAAAGGTGCCCAGCTCTGAGAGCTGAGCTTGGTGCCAAAGGAAAAGCAAAACTCATTGTGCAAACCCCACCGGTCCCTACGGAGCAGAACCACAGGCAGGAGACATGCCACCGCTTACATCTTTTTCCCAAATTTACAGGATTGGGGTGAAATACAGGACACCACCCCTAATAAACAGGAGATTATAAGAGTGGGGACTCGGGGGGGGGGTCCGGTCACCCCTTGGAGCCGGCTCTGGGGCTGCGGACCCCAACACGCCTCCCAGCCCCTCAGCTCCCTCCAAGACGGGGGATCCCAGTGCTGGGACAGAGAGGACCTTTCCACCTCCCCCCTTCCCCAGACCCAACCCGCAGCCCCACAGATGTCACCCCACCGCCGGCGGGCTGAGTCGCCGGCCCCCGAACCCATTTGTTCACAAGAATGGTCCAAGATGCCCTTAAAAGGCCAAAACTCAGCGGGGCCGGGGGTGCCGGGTGCTGGAAGGTGGCAGCTGCGGGTGCCCGTGCGCGGGGCCGCGGCGGCGCAGGGCGGGGGGGACCGGTGGCCGAGGAGGGGGGAGCCAGGGTGGCTGGAGGGAGCACAGTGTCCCCTTACACGGCTGTTTCCATACATAGCCGCCCCCCTCCTCCCGGCAGCGCGGCCGCCGGAGCCCGGCCAGGCAGAGAACCGGCCCAAATTAACTCAAGGGCAAGCAAGGGTACCAGCGATGCCGCCCCGCCGCGCGGCCCCAGGGGGACGCCCAGCTGGCCGTGGGGTTCAGGACAGCCTGGGGAAGGGGGTCTGGGGGTCGCCCAAAGTGCTATTTTGCTTGGCAGGTCCTTGGAGGGGGGGGGGGGGTCTTGGGGGGGGAAGCCCCCAGGGCAAACAGCCCACCTCAGGGTGCCCCGGCACCCCAGCAGCACCACACCACCCCCCTCCAAATTGTCACAGCCTGAAACTGAGCCACCTGCACCCACGCTGGCTCTGGAGGGGGGACCCAGCCAGCATCCCCCCCCCCCCCCCTCTTCCAGCCCCTCCTGCCCACGGCTGCCCCCACTGTGTTTCCCTGCACATTTTGGGGTGACTCTGCAGCCCTGGCACAGCTGCCGGGGAGCCCGGGCATGTACCCCTGCCACCCTGTCCTGCTCCTGGCACCCACCCGGCCCTGGGGCTCAGGCTGGGTTCACTGGGCACCCCACAGCCTCACCAGCACCCGCAGCCCCACGGGTACCCACAGCCCCACCAGTACCTGCCACCCCACGGGTACCTGCAACCCTGCAGGGTACGCACAACCCCACAGGCACCCACAGCCCCGAGGAGCACCCACAGCCCCACAGGCACCCACAACCCCACAGGCACCCACAACCCCACAGGCACCCACAGCCCCACAGGCACCCGCAGCCCCACAGGCACCCACAACCCCACAGGCACCCACAGCCCTGAGGAGCACCTGCAGCCCCACAGGTGCCCGCAGCCCCACAGGCACCCACAGCCCCGAGGAGCACCCACAGCCACACAGGCACCCACAGTCCCAAAGGTGCCCACAGCCCCACTGGGCACCCACAGCCCATAAGGCACCCATGGCCCCACAGGCACCCCCAGCCCTATGGGTGCCCACAGCCCCGTAGGCACCTACTACCCCACAGGCACCCACAGCCCCACAGGCACCGGCAGCCCCATGGGGACCTGCAGCCTCCTTGGGGACCCACAGCTGCGCTGGGCACCCACAGCCCCGTGGGACCCCGCAGCCCTATGGGGAGCCCGCAGCCCCCTGGGGACCCACAGCCCCATGAGAACCCTCCAGCTCCACAGGCACCCACACCCCCGTGGGGACCCCACAGCCCCTTGGGCACTTGTGGCCCCATGGGGATCCACAGCCCCGTGGGGACCCTGCAGCCCCGCAGGGACCCACAGCCCTGTGGGGACCCCGCGGGGACCCAGCAGCTCCGGGGGAACCCCCAACCCCGTGGGGACCCCCCAGCCCCATGGGGACCCCCAGCTCCTCCAGCACCCACAGCCCCACAGCCGTACCTGCGGTGCCGAGGAGCAGGAGCGAGGCCACGCAGCAGCAGAGCAGGTTGAGGCCCTTCATGGTGGCTGCCAGGAGCTCCCTGCCGCTCGCTGCCTCTATTTATACGGCGGCGGCGGGCGCGGGGCCGGGCAGGCAGCTGCCACAGGCCGGCACAGATGCTGCCACCGGCGCGATTCCGCTCCCAGGGGGGCCCTGGGGATGGGGACAGGGACGGGGACGGGCCCCGGCGGCAGCGCTGCGGGGAAAGGCTCGTGGCAGGGGTGCGATGGCATGGGACCCCCTGGGGTGGCAACGCTCACGCAGGGTCACCGTCCCCGTCGTGGCATCCCACTGGCGTGGGGTGGTGGGTCTCCTTGGGGGTGCCTTTTGGCTCCCTTTTGGGCTGGAGCAGGATTTCACAGAGGGGGAGAGCCGAGCCTCACGGCACCGCGGTGTCCCCCATCTGTCCCCAAAGGTGGGTGTCCTCGTCCTGGGCTGATTTGGGGCCCGCTCGAGCCACCACATGTCACCAGCTCCAGGTGATGCCATGCACCCCATAGGCAAGGGGGCATGTCCCCATTGTCACCAGTAGCACGGCACGGGGGATGGCGGTGACCGGAGGGCGCAGGGTTGCCAGCTCCTGTCACCCTCACTTGTAGGGGACGGCCACCCAGCGCTGTCCCCAAAACCTGGCCGCGGCAGAGTGGCCCCTGGGCTCCATCGCTGGAGGAGCCACTTTTGGGGGGCCACCACCCAGCTTTTTTCTTGGGGAAGGAGCCAAACTGGGAGGAAAACAACAGCACACACACCACACCCCCCCCGCTAAAGTTCAGGTGTGGGAGCAGGGGGACCCCCCTGCCCCGAGATGGGGGTGGTGGGGAGGGGGGCAATGGTGGGGGGGCTGGGCACCGCAGAGGGCCACGGCGTGGAGAGGGAGAGACCCACAGCCAGGGGGGATGCCGAGAGGTGGGTCCTCTGTCAGAAAAGATGGGTGCCCCCCCACCAAAAAGCCATGAAGATGGGTGCCCCCACCCCAACAGAGCCATGAGGCAAGCCAGCAGCTCCGCGGAGAGATGGGTCGTGTCCCCCCCCCCCCCAGAAGCTATAGGGACACCCCCATCCCGCAGCCCCAGGGGTGCCATCCCCAGGGCAGGGGGGGACAAAGCCTGACCCTGGTCCCGCCCCCCCCCCCCCCCCTCCCCACAGCCAAGAGGCCTCACTAAAACCAGCCCCAGACCCCCCCCTCCATCTCAGCAGTGAGCTGAGCCCCGATGTGCTCATAGCACACGCAGGGCTGAGCCTTTATAAATACAGCCTGGCCGCTCAGCGGGAAACCTCGCCGGGCCGGCATCCTTCTGCCTTTGCCTCCTGCCCGCGGTTCCCAGCGCAGGCAGCGCTCCCCGGCCCTCCCCGCCAGCCCGTGTCCCCCGAGGTGGAGGGGGACACACACACACCCATGTCCCGCAGGGGCTGGATCCCCCCCCACAAATGTTAACGCCGGGACCAAGCTTCTAAAAAACCAAGTACAAACTTTATTTTGTTTCTTTACAAAGGCACGAGCCTCTTTTTTTTTTTTCCACTTTCTTAACAAAATAGAATAGCTTCTCAATCAACACAAAGACCTGAAAATTGTAAAAAAAAAATTACAAAAAAAAAAAAAATTAAAAAAAAAAAGGGAAAGGAACCGAGAAACAGCTGCGGCTGGGGGGGAACCTACCAAATACCACCGAGGCTCTACACACAACTGGCCTAAAACCCTACAGCCGGGCGGGGGGCAGTGGGGGCGAGGGGGGGATGCATAAAATGGGGACCCCCCCCCCGCCTGCCGCGACAGACCCAAGCGACACAATCACAAAATAGAAAAGCTCTTTGGAGCTGACGGACCCCGCGAACCGGATTAAGTGCTTAAAGGAGGGATGGGAGTGGGATGGGGGTACAGGGGTGGGGACAGGGACGGGGACAGGGGTGTAAAATCAGCCCCCAAACCACCATCCCCGTGCTGAGGAGGTGAGTGTTGGAAATGCTGGGGGGGTGGCACGTGCCAGCCCTCCCGCCTGTGCTCCGGTGCCATAATCCCAGGATTTTTTTACTCTCCAAAAGGGTTTTTCACTGCCCCACGTGGGGTGCGGGAGCTGTGGTGGGGCTGGTTGTACCCCAAAGCCGGGGGGTCCCTGTCCCGCCTTTGCTGCCGTGTCACTTGGCATCACCCCCCTGCTTAAAAACGAACATTTAATTAAAAGAAAGACACAAAAGAGGAGGAAAAAAACAAATTAAGATCCCAACCGAAGGCCCTGTCCTGAGGGAACGCCATCGGGAATGCGGGGGGCTTGGCAGGATTCCCCGTGGGTCGGCGGGGGGGTGTTGATAAAATGGGGCGGGGGGGGGGCTGCGACCCCCTCATCCCTAACGCCCCCCCCGCCGCCGCCCCACTTCCCCCCGAGCCCCCCCGCATCCCACTGCGGCCGCCCTCGAGCGCCCGCCCCCCCCCCCCCCCCCAGGAGCTGAAGGGTGACCTTTGCCTGCTTCTAGCGCTCTGCTTTACAGTATTGGAAAAAGGTCATAAAAGAGACCCAAATCGCGTTGTATTTTTTAAAAATTTCAGCATATTCTCTGACGTTTCCCCCCCCCCCCCCCCCCCCCCCCGCCCCGGCTGCCGGCCGGGGGGTGTCAGGGCAGCTCCCCGTCCCCCGAGGGCTCTTCTTTGCTCTGGTCCATGGAGTCACTGTCGTTGCCCTCGGTGTCGGAGGCGGTGTCGGAGGTGGAGGGCTCGGGGCAGGCGCGCGCCGGCGTCACGATGACGGCGCGTCTCTGCTCCTCTTCCTGCAGCTGCTTCTCCTGCGTCCCCTCGATGTGTTGGATCGCCTGCCGAGGGCACCCGCATCAGGTCCCCCCCCCGCCCTGCTCCGGCACACTTGGGGGGGGGGGGGGGGGGGCGCTAGGGACCCAGTCCCCCCCTCCTTACCTGAACGATGGTGTCCAGGTTTTGCCGGGACGTGGAGACTGTGTTGATGACCGAGGATGGGCCCATGGTGACCACGGTGACGTGATGGGAGGGAGGTGGCGCTGGAACGATCACGGTGGGGTGGTGGGTGGGCGCTGGGGGAGCATGTGATGGCAGGAGCTGGGGAGAGAAGCAAAAACATCCCCCCCCCCCGACGCCGGTCAGCAGGGACCCGGGCACGGCGGCGACGAGGCGAGCATCACGCTCGTTTCAAACTCCTTTGAGAGCCCATAAAAGCTGAAGCAGCAGCTCGGCATCTCCGCCGGACGCGAGGATGCCAGGTGAAAGCTGCCGTCGCCTTAGCTTTGGCAGAGCGGAACGTGGAGGATTCCCCCCAGCCCAAAGCGGGAAAGACTTGGGGTTTTAAGCCAGGAGAGGCAAGTGCCAGCCCTCCCATCGCCCCAACCTGCGCAGCCGGGAACGCGTCGCACCCCTCACAGATCCTCGTTAAAACAGCGGATGGGAAGATCCGCCCTAGCAGGAGGCTAAGGAGAGTTCACCTAAAAATAGGCTGAACTTCCCCGGGAGGCGGCCGGCAGCTCCGCGGAAGCCAAAGGAGGGAGGAACTGGTTTGTCTCCCTCCCTTTGAAGCTCCCCCCGGGGCAGCGTGCCCCGGGGCTGAGCTCGAGGCCGGCAGTGAGCAAGGACCGGTGCTCGGCTCTTCGCTGCACCAGCCTGGCCTAAGGCTCCCCCCACCGTTGGCAAATCCGACTGTGCCGGGGAAAAAAACAGAAGGCTCCTGTCCCTGCACTCCTGCCTCGTCTCCCTGGCAGCACGGCCTGCCAGCTCGCCCTCTCCCCTTTCCCAGCCTGGCAGGTGGCACGGAGTGGTTTGGGGGGGGGTGTCCCCAAAACTCAGTGGGAGTCACACATGGGGGAGGTGAAAGGGGGGGGGGCGTGTTGGCCTCCTCGCCACTGCAAACCACCCGCTCCAGCACGGGGAGCAGGACCTGCAGCAGCCGCCGGTGGCAGGTGCCATCGCGACTGCTGGCATCACCGAGGCCACCGCGGCACGGTCCGAGCCACCATCTCCCCCCGAAACACGGGGTGCCCGCGAGCGCAGCCCCCCTGAGCACTTTGGGGGGGCCGTGAGTCGACCTTTTCCCAATCCCCCGAGGGCGAGAGCTTTGCTGGGACATTGCTCCCAGACCCAGCTAGCCCACGGGAGGTGCCACGCACTTTGCCGGGCTGCGCCCCTCGGGGGGTGGGAGGCTGCCGGGGTGTCCCCACGGGTGGGCTACGGCCCCGGGTGGGTTGGGATCTGCTCACCTGGGTTCGGATCTGCTGCTCGCGCTCTAGCTTCTCCTGGTGCAGCAACCTCACCTGCTCCTGCTGCTGCTGGAGCTGCACTTGCTGAGCGATCACTTTCAGCTTCTCGGGGTACATGTGGGCCTCCAGGGAGCGAACCTGCCGGCAGAGAGAACCCCGGCATCGGTGGGGAGCCCAGCGCGCTCCCGGCACAGCACCCACCCTCGATCCCCAGCCGTGGGGTGGACACAAGCGATGCCAGGGCCCCCACGGCCAAGCGTGTGTGTGTGGGGGGATGTTGGCCAGAGCAGATGCCCCGTTACACCATGGCAGCGCCGGTGTCCCTGGGGGGGGGGGCTCTGGCACGGCCCGCACAGCACCAGCCCCCGCAGCCGGATCCGGCCCCGCGTGGCCTCACCTGCTCCTCCAGCATCATGCGGACCGAGCGCTCCTTGTCCAGCTGCTGCCGGAGCTCGATCATCTCCCGCCGCAGATCCTCGGCCTTCTCGTCCTCCCAGATGTCCGGCGAGCCGATCCCCTCGTCTTTATCCTCCGCCCGTCGCCGCTTCGGGGAGGAGCCGCTGAACTCCTGCCACAGGGACGCGGCGTCAGGGGATGGGGACCAGCGCCAACGCTGTCCCCTCCATCCAGACCACGTCTGGGTGATGCCACGCGCCCCCAGCCGCCCCCCTGCCCCCCCCCCTTCAACACAGCTCCCTGCAGGGAAGGGTCTCCCGAGGGACGTGGGCAGCACGTGGGGTCGATGCCTGGGGACAGATGGGCTCCTGCGCCCTGTGCGTGCCCACCCCCCCTGGTCCTCACCCCCCCGAGCC